TCCAAGGCCAGGTTGGACGGGGCTTGGAGCAACCTGGGCTAGTGGAAGGTGTCCCTGCCCATGGTGGGGCGGGGGGGTGAAACTGGAACTGGATGGTCTTCAAGGTCCCTTCAAACCCAAACCATTCTGTGATTTACCCTCATCTTGGGGTTTCTCTTCTCAGCTTCTCGAGCTTCAGCCATGCACATCCACCCTGGGATTCTTCTTCAGCCCAGAGAGGAGCCCATGGCTTCTCCTTCCTATATTTCATAAGACTGTTAGCACTGAAATGCTTTATTTTCTCCAAGAAATAAACTCACCAGTTCTTATCTAGCCTCCATTACAAACACTGGAGTAAAAATAGCCTTTTCCAGCTATGCTCACCTGCCCTAAGGATGTGAAATCAGTGCTTACAAAGAAACTCCCCACCAAAACAGATGGGAATTCAGGAATAAAGGTGACATCAGCCATGTCTTGGCCTCAAGATATGATAAGTCAAGGGCTATGGTCCATGCACCAGTCCAGCTTTCCTAGCACAGGGAGATGCAGCAGCCTCATATCGGGAATTGGACTAAAGGGGGGAAGCTGCTCCCCAAGTTCCTGCAGGGAACACATGGATGCACTCAGAGGAGCTGCAGCCAAACCAGACCAGCTCCTCAGGCCACCTCTCCAAGTGCTTGCAGCTCCATTTCCAGGAATCAAAACATTAAATATTAAGCAAAGAGAGTTAATCTATACCTGGGGTATTGACACAAAGCGGAGGAGGGGAGAAGAAAAAGATAAACAGACTTTTTTTTTTTTAAAAATAATCTGTGTGCCCCTGCAGGTTGTCCCGCTGGGGCCTGCCAGACCTCGAGCATGGCTCCAAGGATGCTTTTGGGGGAACAAGGTGAACCAAGAAGTGTCACCCTCTCAGCTCTCCCCAGGAAGCCAGAGGTCTGTTGGGACCTTCAGGTGGCTCAGGTGCAAGCAGCACCTCCCTGGCTGAGGGCAAAGCCCTGGCCAGAGAAGGTCACCCTGTGCTCACCTCTCCCAAGGCTGGGAGAGCGTCGAAGCAGCGGCAGAGCAGACATTGATTTAAGAAGGTCAGTGCCCAGTTAATGCTTACCAGGACTGTTCTGCCACTCAGATGGGCTTTTGGGGCTGGGAAAGATGAGTGTGCTGGGATGGCTCATCTGTGCCTTGGCTCCTTGTCAGCCTGCACCTCATGGGACCAGCACCGGGATGGCTTTGCCCCGTGGATCCCTCAGCACCAGAACGAGCCTCGTACAACCGGAGGGAAATGCCGCCATTCATCTCCCAGCGAACACTCTCCAGCATCACTCAACGCCTCTCCAGCAAAGCAGAACGAGATTTTTTTTTTCCTGCCTGAGTGCTCACATGTACATTATTTTTTTTATTCTAGCCTCAGCATTCCTCCGCTCCCCTGAAAGAAAACAAACCTGCAAGCACAGAGTGTGCCTTGCAAAGGTCCTGCTCCGGCGTCCCACGGGGAAGGGGCACGCGGTGGTCGCAGCAGCCTGCCCGCCCCAGCCCGCCACTGCTTGTTGATATAGGCAGCACAGTATATTTCTTTAAAGAACCCAGCCTATGCATTCGATGCATTGCTGCGAGAGGGTTTGTTTTCAAAGCCTGACCCCAGACCTGAACTCCACGGATCCTGCGTTTCTCAAGATCAAACGCGAGAAAACGTGACCAATGCAAACAAGAAATAAACCTTGATAATTATAGCCGGGGCGGCTATTGTTTAGTGCAGACTAGCACCCGCTTTAGCATAAACATAACCCTATTTTTAAAGGGATGCCTGAACAGTTGACAGCATTACTCCCCATTTTGCCTCCAAATCCCCTCTTTGATACAAACCCATCTCCCTGAGACCAGAGAGGAGAGTTAAGAGCAGACACAAAAGGCTAAGCCATGCCCACGGCCATAATGGATGCCTGTGTGGGAGTAGGGAGTTGATCCTCATCCCTACAACCTGCTCCCAGCTGGCAGAGGATGAGGGGCACCCTGGGGTCCGGCTGTTGCCTGCAGCTGGCAGGATCAGACTGACGGAGGACAAACAGACAGCACCGGTCTTTTCAGGAAGGCCATATCACTTAGCGCTTGGAAAGGAGCTACAATATTTTCCTGATTATGTTTGCACGCAAACGAGCGCCACGGGGAAATTATGCAATGCTGAGCGGGGAGGGGTGGGAGTGAGGGAGGAAGGGCTGGAGGGGGGCCCCGTGCTGCACCCCGCTGCCCTCGGCCCCAGCCTGTGCAGCTGCAGCCCCGGAGGTGCCGCAGATGGGCTCCATCACCGCCGGAGCCCCCGCACCACCACCCCCCGCAAGGAGGCAGAAGGGGCAGGGGTTATTAACGGCCTCTTCATTAAGCACCCAGACCAAAATGCATATATTCATCACCCAAGCAATTTAATTACCGAGTCCATGCTCACCTTGCACACCCACATGCCTTTCTTTTTCGAGGCCTCTGTGCGGTCATAGCCTTAAATAAATAGGTGGCAGGAGCAAGAGGCAGATGCTGACTCTTACAGCCTCTGTCTTGGGCACAGAGCCTTTGAACCACCAGAACTCCCAGTATTTAATTTCTTTTGTTACTGCTTGTACCTTTAGAGCTCTGCCTTAGGCTTTCTAGATACGATCACAGGGAGGAGGAAACAGCCAGCTACACGATGAGCTTCCTGGGCATCACACACGTGCACACACACACTCACAGCCCATCAATCACCCTAATTATAACCGGCCACATGGCCACAGCTCTCAGCGCACCCCGTTACTGCCCGTTATTACACGGTCACAGCTTTTCTCTGGTAACAGTATCACAGAGTTAATATGTGATCTGTAAATGTGGTGTATCTTGTAATGAATTTCATCCCGGAGCGCTCACCGTGTGCTCACCAGTCATGTGTCAGCCAAGGGAGGGAGCGCAGGCGACACTGCTCCCCAAAATAAGGCTTTAAGGTTCTCACACACCCCCGACCCTCCTCTCTCTGCGATACACGCCTGGTTTGGTTTCTGGCTGCTGCCCACATCCCATCCGGAGTCAGGACAGTACCACAAGCAGGCTCCCTCAACATCAAGTGCTTGTCTCCACCCGGCAGACAAAAGCAAGGTGGGCCATGGGTGTCCATGGCAGGGGTGGATGTGATCTTTTGGGGAGGACAGAAGGACCTAGGACAAGGCTGGGCCTCCCGACACTGGTATCTGGCTGGGACCAGCACCCCAGTGGGCTGGTGTCCCTCTGCCAAGTCTGCTTCAACAGTGGGGTCTTGGCAGCAAGAAACGTTCCTCTTCTCCATGTTAACACTACCCATTCGGCATCCTGGCCAAGCTTGAAGGTCCTACCAAAACACACAATTGGATGCAGTCGGTGGATCTTGCTTTTAAGGGATATTAAGTGCTGGAGACCCTGCACCGCCCTCGGTGTGACCACGCAGGCAGTGCTGCCAGCCCTGCCCTCCGCCGGCTTTCCCACTGAATGGATTCGCTCGGAGGAAGCGTGTCGGCGAGGCAGATGCTCTTCTGCAGCCACCCACGGCCAATAAGGCAGACAGACATAAAGCTTGAAAACCCATAAAATATAGCAATAATAATGAAAACTAGAGGGGGTGGCTCACACCCAGCAGCTGATTCACCAGCTCTGCTGTCCTTACCCCAAGACACACCGGCAGGACAGGCTAAGGGCGTGCTTTTCACCGAATTACTTTTAATTGAGTACATCGGAGCTTAGAAACACATGATGCTGCCAGAGATAAATATAGCCACGGCTACGAGGATAGAGGGGGCAGGGAGTAATCGCGGTTCAACATAGCCGAGAAGGAGCTTCCAGCTCTGGGAGGCAGCGCCGGCCGCGCCGCCGCACCTTCCCCGCACCTTCCCCGCCCCGCTCGGGCACCCCCGGCCCGCCCTGCCCGGCCCAGGGAAGGGGCCATGGAGCCATACCTGTTTTAAACTCCAACGCCGGGTCCTTCTCCCCCTCGCCCAGGTCGCTCTGCAGCATCATGTAGAGGATCCCGAAGGAGTTGTTGATGCCGAAGATGGAGCCATTGCACCAGGCGGCGGCGAAGACCACCACCCAGCCGAAGCCGCCTTCGCGGGGCTGGAAGGGCGCGGCGGCCCCGCTCGGCCCCCGCTCAGTCCCAGTCCCAGTTCCAGTCCCAGTCTCAGCCTCAGTCTCAGTCTCAGTGCCGGCCCCGGCCCCGGCCCCGGGCTCGCTCTCTCCCGCCGCCGCCGGCACCTTCTCGTCGCGTTGCGCCATCGCGGCCCCGCTCCGGCCGCCGCCCGCCGCCCGACTGCCCCGCAGCCGGTCCCACATGCCCGCCGCCCCCCCCGGCCGGCCCCCCCGCCCGCCCCCTCCTGCCGCAGCCTCACTCCCCGCCTCCCCTCCGCCGCC